AAACTGCAGCCAAATCAGAAGATTCATTTAACTTTTCCTCAGCGTTTTGAATTTTACTAACTTTAGCATTATTTATCCCCTTATTACCTCCCAAACAAATAGACCCATGATGACTTAATCCCTTACATTTATAACAAGGTAATTTATTTACACGACAATTCTTGCTTACATGAAACAATTTAAAACACTTGAAACAACGATTAGAATTTTTCAATAATTTTACCTTGTTTTGGGAAGACATATTACATTTGAAAGCGTCATGGGGTTCAGAGCAAAAAATGCATATTGACTGCGTCATCTGTGCATTAAGCGCAGTAGCTGAGGGTGTGCCTTTATTAAAATTTCTGTTTATATACCTATTTTGCTCGTTACGCAAATTATAGCTACCTCGATGGTTATAGTTAGTCTTTTTATCATTAAAAAACGCAACCGATTCACGACATTCTATCTCATTCTTTAAAAACAGCAATAATTCATTAACATCGGTTTCATCTTTAGATTTCCGTTTTCGTTGAAAATCCAAAACAAAATCTTCAGGCAATAATTGTAAAATTTTTGGTATCAAAAGTATACCATAAGATTCAGACTGAACTTTCATTGAATCTAAATTTCTAACTGCGATGTCTAAGTCATCGTACAATTTGCTAAATGCTGTAATATTAAAGGTATGTTTAACACTCGGAAAACTAAGTATTTTATTAACAAATGAATTCAAAATTAAATATCTACGACCATATTTCTCATGTAATAATTTAATACAATTATCATAATTATCATTCGTTAAATCAAAACCTGATACAACATTACCTGCCTGGACAGTAAGATAAGATTTCAAATAAATGAATTTTTCAATTTTAGAAAGTGATTCATTTTTATGGATAGTATTTTCAAAAGAGTCCCAAAAAGAATTAAAATATTTCGGATCTCCCGAAAAAGGAACAATTTGAATTTTCGGCAATTTAATACTGGAATTGTTATTAACTACTCTTTTCTGCTCAGTTATAACCGAATCCTTTTTTACAGTTTCAACTGTTTGTTCATTAACCGAAACCTTTATTCCTTTACATTTTATCAATTGCTTTAATTTAGCTACATACGTCAAATATTTATCCTGATATTCTTCACTAGAAGCTAAATCTTCATCCAACAAATTAATATCAATTATATTTCAATTTCCTTATTCAAAGCTATTAAATTTTGATTCCTTTCAATTAACACAGTAAGATTCTCATCTAATACATTTGTTTCAACATTTTGCTCAGTTAATAATTTATCAATTTTATTTATTAACTTAGTAAAACAACTTCGTTCACTAGACCTTTTTCTTTTAATTCGCTCTAAATAATCTGTTTCAGCCATAATGAGCGTCTAACACAAAGTCACACCCTTAGCAATATAAAAAACAATAAATTTTCAATAATCAAAACCTCAAAACGAAAACGAATTCTGCAACAAAGAAAGATATAAAAACGCTTACTTTGCACATACAAAGTATTAGACTAGCTGTCTCCTTGAAGTGATCATGTATCTTTAACTGTCATTTTCGATTTTGCCCTTGAAATTAAAAATAACACTTTATCTTCTCTTGCTTTAAATTCCTCTAGTTCGTAAAATACTTCGTGGCCAATTGCACCATATACAAGAAGGGGAGGGCAATCAATATCGAAAACAATAAAACAAATATTTATTTAAACAAAACAACGAGTTCCATATTATTAGGATGGAACCCTTCAGATTATAAAGTTATACATTAGAAGGCAATTAATTCAAGCCAATGCTTACTGCTTGATGGTTCAATGTAGACTGATTATCAGCCCTCTGGTGGGGAGATTTCGAATTAATTAAATTTACATCTACATTTCTGAACAATCTTCGCTCAATTGTGTATTAAAAGCTTGTGACTCTTTAAAGTTCATAAGCGATTGATAAATTCTATCAATTAATTCAGGCTTTTTTCAACATCCAAATTTAGCACATTTAACACACATATTAATTCGTGTTCGGAACAAGTATAAGATATCAACTTTTTCCTTTCCTCAATATTTATGTCCGGGGGAAAAGAAGAAAAGGATCGCAATTTTTGATATTGAAGTTAATTTTGTTAAGAAATGGGGGAGGGGGTAAGTCCAGCAACTGAGATATTAGAATATTCACTTTAGTACATTTAAGAGTTGACACAGGTTTGCTATTTGTTCTTTTAAAAATTCCTTTTTAGTGAACGAAATAATTTGTGATAAGCAGTGGTTAACAAAATTGCTGAAACCACTAAAGAAATTAGCAAATATACAGTGTAGTTCCAACTAAATTTGCAATATATATTAAATTTAACGTGTTGCTTAAAATCTATTTCTCAGAATGAATAAAAATAATTCTAGTCAACAGTATTTAATATTAATCATTAAAAATAATCACCTGAACTTTTACTGATGAATAATTTTTTAATAATAATAAAACCTAACAAAAACATCTGAGGAATTAGCTGAAAACTTGAATTTCGGTTCCACAAATTTTTGATGTTGCATTATTTATGGAATGATACGAGGTTGAATCCGACATTATGACCGAGTTTATAATATCCCTGTCACCTGAAATTCTGCTCATTTACTCATAAATCAAAAGATCTTGACCACTAGATCTTGAGCCATCACTGATGGGTTTTAATTTTTTTGAAGTCGTGAACTAATATCTGGTGAGGATTATTTTCAATCTTGTAAGCTCTGAGTTCTGCTGTGATTTTTTATGAAAGGACTGTGCCATCATATTATTTCTCAATGACAAATACTTCTTTTACAAACGATCTGAATTTAATTTTATTTTAACTCTTCTTGTTCTGCTGCGAAGAAAAAAAAACACAAACTTTTCATGTCTTGCCAATAAAAGAAATCCAGAAGAATCGCTGGACTCACAAGGCATTGAGAGACGTGAAATGCATCAGAAACTCATGTTTGTGAAAATTGCAACACCATGAAGGACTTACGCGAGTGAGCTGAAATTTTCAGGAAATGCAAAGTAGAGCATGATATGCAAATGATTAGAATTTCAGACCCGTAGCGCATGCGTATGCTGAGCAGCGCCCTCTGAACGGCGGATGGATCAGAATAAATAGACGGCTGTAGCCAAGCGAGTATGGAGTATGGTTATCTACTAGTGGTAAATGTTAGTTTAGTCATTACTTATGCCTATTCGACGAAAGAGAGTGAGATTTCAACAACTTACGGAGTTTAAACGGGGGACAATCATCGGCCTTCGTGAAGCTGGATTATCTTATCGTGCAGTAGCCGTTTGTGTGCAGCGTAACAGCAGCACAGTGATGCGTGTTTGAAAGTAGTGAATGGACGAGTGTCGGACAGCTTGGAAATCCGGGAGTGGACCCCGAAATGTCACGTCAGCTCGCGATGATAGACGCCTGTTCGGCGTTGCGCTAACGGACAGTACGGCTCCCTCTAGACAACAGCACGGTGGTCAATAGCTACAGGTGTTTCATTGTGTGCTTTATCAATTCGTAGACGTCTGCTGCTGCGTGGACTGCGAGCAAGGACTCCTTTATACAGGATCCCCCTCACGCTAAACCTTCGCCACCTGCGGCTGCAATGGGCCAACCAGCATAGGGACTGGTATGCTGATTGTCGTGTTTTCTGACGAATCTCGCTTCAATTTGTGGTACCATGATGGCCGCATTCGTGTCAGACGCTATGCCGGTGAACGGCATCTTCCGGAGAGCGTTATCGAGCGCCACAGTGGACGAACACCCTGAGTTATGGTCTGGGGTGCCATTGCATATCATGGACGATCTCAATTGCTACGAATTGTGGGTAATCTGAACAGCAACCGGTACATCAGTGAAGTTCTACAGCCCCAAGCTGTTCCCTTCCTTCAAGCCTTGCCAGGTGCTGTATTTCAACAGGACAATGCCCGCCCTCATATTGCTAGGACTGTTCAATCCTTCCTTGCATCGCGACAGGTACAACTTCTTCCTTGGCCGGCGTATTCCCCGGATATGTCGCCGATTGAACATGTGTGGGATTTCGTTGGTCGGCGTCTCGCTCGTAATCCTCGTCCTGTTGCTTCTACAGACGAACTTTGGGTACGCATACAAACAGTATGGAATTCTCTTCTTCTGACAGACATTCAAAGTTTGCTTGACTCCATGCCACGTCGTGTAGCAGCACTTATTGCGGAGCGCGGTGGCTACACAAAATACTGATTTCGATCTCTTGTTATTGTTTGTTTGCTTTGAAAGTTTAATCATTTATTTGTACCACTCAACTGTGTACTAAATTTCATTCAATTATGACGGTTCCTTCATGGTGTTGCAATTTTCACAAACAGGAGTTTAGAAAAGAGAAGTTAACTTTGTACCGGCATTTACCCATCGCTAGACGAACTTTTTTACCCTCCTTAGGGGAAGTAAATTCCACACTCCCAACATTCTAGCGTATATAAACTGAGCTGAAGTCATTATCTTGTTTTTGCCTCCAGTCGGCAAGAAGCATTGTCCCAGGCCCCCATGATCTGCAAGTTCGTCACTGGCAATTCTTTTTGAATGGTAGAATCAAGATCTGACCAATACCTCAATGTTGATATTGGATCAAATTTTATATCGAGCCAGCATGAACAAAACAATTATGGTTTGAAAGATTTTTGTAATACACTAATGAAATAAAACAAGTCACGAGTCTACATTATTTGTTAGTTTTCACCATAACTTTTCAATATATCATAGTCAGCCATATAATATGAAGAAGTAATTTAAAGCTAAGCTTTGTTCCTTTCAGAATGTAGCAATTGTTAAAAATAAATCAAACTTTTGAATTCTTTTGTACTTTATTAAAAAGGATATAAAATTTATAGTTAGTGGTTTCACTAACTTTTAATGGTCTCTGCAATGTTTATATTTTATACTCAGTTGATATAGAGCCCATAAAAACTAAATTCATCATAGCAAACTTAGATTTCTTTAGTTTTTCTACATAAATTCATATTAAAAAACACCTTTTAAGGCTGCCTCGTGAATGGAACACTTTATGGAGATGGGTCAGCAATGCTATCAAGTTCTTTCTGTGAATATTGCTTCTGCATACGAGGAAAAAGAACGTGCCTTGAACCAAAATGTCAATTAGTTATTGAAGGTTGCACTCCTCATTATGATACAGAATTTTCATGCTGCCCTTCCAGATATGATTGTGGTAAATCTCCCAAAGAAATTTTATTTTTATTACTCCTTAAAAGGATGTTATGCTTTCTTCTTGGTGGAGGATTTTCATAAATTTTGAAAGGTATTTCTTCTCACATTACTTCTTTTCAAAATCTTTCCTTAAAATTATTACTTTACTTTTATTTCTTTTTCTTAATAGTAAATATTTAATCAATTTTATAGCTCAAAAAGGTTCAAACAACAACACAGCCAACGGTATAATGATGACAGATTTAAGTGAGACTACTGGTACGTGTATTTTCATGTTTCATATTTTAAATGAAATAATGTTTTACTATTTTTGCCTTTATTAATAAACAACACAGAACTCAGATAAATAACTTTTTTAAAAAACATATTTTATAATACAAACAAAAACAAACGGTTAACAAAAAGTCAAAAGAATTGTTATAACATGCTTATAAAAATGTACATCAAAGGAAGGCATATTAATTAACTTAAAAGAAAGAAAAAAAAGAATAATTTGATTTACAAATCCTTATATTAATAATAAAAGAGGAAAAAGTTTGAAAGAAGCAATGCTATAATAACTTAAGCTAATATAACTAACTCCTTATAAATAACTCCTCACTAATTTTCATTAACAATTGTTAATGAAAATTAGTGAGGATTCACAATGAAGGAGAAAAATATGTCCTATTTCATACTTTTTATGAACTTTTTTCATAATACATGTTTTTCAACTAATTAGAAACAATATGATTCAATGCAAAACTATGGATTCCAGTTTGAGACATTAAATTCAAGCTATGTTCGAGTAGAACATACTTAACTAATGATTTTACTTTATAAATACATAAGATAATGCTTGTTATTTTTCTTGGACAGGAGGTCACTGTATAAGAAAAGGCGAAGTGTACTATCAAGGTGAAGTAATAGCCAGTCATAAAGCTTGTCATAACTGCTATTGCAATGACTCCACAATAATTTGTGATGAAATCCAATGCTCATCACCAATAGATGGATGCCATCCTATCATTCCTGACGGACATTGTTGCCCAGTTTCTTATCGCTGTGGTAATTTTACTTCTAGAATTATTGTTGTAAATTATGATTGCCCTTCAAAAAGCATTCCTTCATTCATGCAGTGTTAAAAAAAATTCTGTTTATCCTAAGAAACTCCAAAATAGGTACTTAATGAAATTCAAAATAATTTACCAAAAACTGTTAGTTGACGAAAATAGTATTTCTAACTTCTTGTCCAGGAAATTACTCAAAAACTGACATATTTGAAAAAACTGTGCCCTTTTTCTAAGTATATATATATATATATTATGTGAGAAAATTTTGATTGAGAAAAAATACTCAAGAGCTAAAATGACGCCATTTAGCACTTACTAGGGTACTGATCTTCCATTATTCTTAACATCAAATATACGTTTTTCTATTGAATTAATCAACTTCTGGCGTGCTTCTGGGCAGGGGAAGAATACCATATTTTCTCAATAGATTCTTGGAGGTCTTCAACAGTGCTATATTGTTTACTATTTCTATATACTTGGCAGGTAAAAATGCCACAAACGTTCTCAATTGAATCTTGGTCTGGACTCAGAACAGGCCAATTTAGTATCTGAAAATTTTGTTGAGAAATCCAATTTTTTTGTCAAACATGAATTATGTATCACGGCATTGCCTTTTTGAAATATATAATCGGTTCTTCCAAAGAGATCTTGATAAGGAGGCGTATGCTTCCTCAATGTATCTTGATACTTTTTAGATGTTAGAAATCCAAATGCTCCCCAAACCGTTGGAGAATTGTTTCCTTGCTGCCTGCTAAAAAATTTATTTGGCTTTTTTAAGGTCATGTTCATATGAGTTCTAGCCATCAGAACCATCTAAGTTGCATCTTTTCTCATCACTGAAAGTACACATAACCATTTATTGCCACACGAAAGGCCAGTTCATTCTTCTCAGGTAATGATGTTGTTAAAGGCATGGCTTGTGGCAATTTTTTTTCAAAATGATATATTTGCATTCTCTATTGATTAGAAATAATCTGCCTGTCTTCATACTTTGCAGGAATTATGCCACTTAATCAACCAATCTGGCATTTACTAAGAAATTCATAAAGTGCTTAAACTTTAATAAAAAAAATCACAATATTAAATAATAAAATCAACTTTAATTACTGAATATTTCTTGATAACATTCACTTCATTTAAGTAACAATTTAAAAATTTTCCCCTTATTACATCAGATACTTTTCAATTGTTTACTATAATCAAACTTCGTTATGTGTTTAAATTTGTGAGACAGACTGTAATAGAGTCACATTATTCAGAAATTGGCCCTCATATATACATATATATTATGAAGAACCAAAATTAATTTACACAAGAAGCTTAACTTTAAGAAACTTACTATTACTGAATTGCAAATATTTTGAAATTGTTTATTTTCTAGTATGATTTTTTCCAGATTTTGTCCAAAAATTGCAGTGCTCCTCGACTGATGTATTCTTTTTTTTTTTTTTTTTTCCAATTCCCTAACAGGTTAACCTGACTTAGTGGGACTCTGCATGTTGGATTAATTCTTCTTTCTTAAAAATTTAGACCATTGTAAAATGAATTTTTTAAACAAAATAGTTCTAGAGAAATTAAAATTTAAAGATAGATCTTAATTTTATTGAAAAACCTAGGCATATCTGAAATTTTACTGCTTGGACATTATTTGATTGGTTTATTTTAATGTTTGGATTTTGTCATTTAAAATCATATTGTTTAAGAAAATGTAAAAAAATTTCATACCTTTTAGTTCAGAAAATTTATCAATCATTATTAAAATAAATAATGTAGAAAAATAAAACGAAAAATAATAAAAATAAAACAATAAAAATAAAATATAAATAAATAATAAGAAACATTTACTTTACGTAGAAATATGTTTAGATAACTGAATTTCTTAATTGCGAGTTAAACAGAGCCGTTTTTATGTTTATAGGGGCCCTGGGCCTGTCATTATCTGGGGGCCCTTACTGAAGAAATTTAGAGAAAAAAAAATTTAATTTTGAATAATTTTTAAAAATTACTTTATTTTAAGACTAAAAACATATAAATTAATTATGAAAGCTTATATACATTATTCTTATCGAAAATTTAAGATAACAATACTTTTCGCTCTTTTTGAGAAGCGAATCTTCTATCACATCATGAAAATCAATTTCCTGTAAGACATACATTTTGCTTTGCAGCTAGAAACATTAAATTATGAAGGTGTGTAGAAAGTATGCAAGGAGCTACAAGGAAATACAGTTAAGGAATACAAGAAAATACAGCTTGATTATTAGTTTTTTTTATAATCGCCGTTAAAAAACTGACTCAAATTTGAGCTAATGTTTAACTACGTAGCCTTGAAATTTCAAAACCAATCCAGAAGACAAGGAGACTCCTGGATCAGAACCCAGAGGTATTGAATTGTTATGAAAACTTGGAGGAGTTCATGACCCCAGATTTAACATGCACCAGTCACAATTTTATGTATGGGTATTATTCGGCCGGCTGAATTCGAACTCCCATTCTCACGAACAGGAGTCCATAGCCCTACCAACCAAGCTATCGTGACCAAATTATTAGTTTATTTTATAACACTCATTGAACAGCCCACCCAATTTCGAGTTTACGACTACTAATGTTCAACTTTGTAGCCTTGTAATTTTGAATCCAATCCATCATAAAAGAGAACTCCAGGATCAAGTATTGGAAGAAATTTTTGCCTTCGTGGAGGACGTTTTGATGGAACTAACTCGCATTTGCGTTGCATAGAGAGGAAGAACACGAGTACCTCCCACGGTTAGCCTAACGGCAAAGGCACTCTAACCCATTATCCGCCTACCACTGAGGATATTTCACGTCAGCACTGTGGTCGGCAAAAGCCGGGTGTGGAATTTATATCGACCAGCCAGCACTGGTATTCGAACTCGGTGCACCTCATTTGGAGGAGAATGCTCTATCCCTTGAGTCCATCTTTATTGAGTAATAACTCTGCGGCAGGTACCAATTATCCAATTTTATTGATTGGTACCAATTTTATTGATTTGCCTGAATTTAGTCATCTTCAAAATGTAAATGGTAATTCAATCGTAATTTTTGCAGAAAAAAATGGAAATAAATCGTTTTTCTTCTCAACCTGCAATGAATGAATGCAGAAGCAACCACGAGGGTTAGCGAGCAAAATGAACAGGGAGCGGAGCCTTCTTGTTTTTTAAATAATTGTTAAATTATTAGTTTTTAACATGCATACTTAAAAAAAATAACAAAAACATTTTTCAATATTAAGAAATAATAATTACAAACTGTCATCAGCGGGAATAGAACCCACGATCTCACAGTTTTGTGTTAGATTTCATAATCATCAGCCCCAAATATACACACCTGCCTTGCGGATATTTTTTAAATTTTTTTTTTAAATTTAATAAATTAAGTCATTTGGATACTTGACATTCTTGAAAAATGCTTTCCAAATTACCATTTTTAACGTTTATAACAAGTATTTTCAGTTCATTTAGAAGTAAACCATAATGTTATATATTAATTTCCATCGGTACATCAATTTTTATAAAAATAAAAAAAATAATAAAAAAATCGAGACATCACAAACCAACATTTGAATTGTAAAAAGTATTTATATTTTCTTTTAATGTTTTTAATCTGTTTGTACAATTGGCTGGTGGCTGGGTCGCGTGCAAGCGATTTTCCTTTTTTTTTAAAGTCCCTTCGCAAATGATTATTCCCTAGCAGGCGGTAAATGGATGAAGAGGAGTGACGTAATAGTATGAGAGCCTATCAGCGATTTGCCAGAGGGCGCTGTTTTTCTCCCTCCTTTTTTCGAATCTTCGACGCAGAGCGCGTTAGTCAGTCTCTTAAAAAATTTTATATTTATAGGTTGTTTCAGAGTTTAGGATCGGAGATAAGTAACTTTTAATCAACCGAAAATTCTAATTTTCTTATTTGCTTTGTAAGGCGATTTAAATTCAACAAAGGTCGAAATTATGTTAATCTTAAAATTTTTAACTTGAAATAGATACTTAAAAAATTTAATTGCTCCGCTATTTCTAATCACGAGCGTGATAAATTTTTTTTAAACCCAGCCTAATATTTATAAATTTGTTAAATGTGTGATATGTTCATTAATATAATTTAAGCTGTTAGAACATTTGAAAATTATTTTTGAAGGTGCACCGAATTTTTGAATATATAATGTGTTTTAATTATTGTTTAACGAAGACACTATATTTGTATAAGTGCAAATGCATTGTAATCAAAAATTAAGTTTTAATACATATTTGTTTTAAACGTTAAATTAGTCTTTAATTTTGGCTATGTCTCATGCTGTTTCTTTGGATAAAGATAACTTTAGTGCACGTGCAGTCCGGTGCCATAATTCTCAAAGATCATTTAAAATCCTTCTAAATGAATAATTATTTCGTTTAATCATGTCAATTAACATAGCTTATAATTCTAGTCCAAGTTGTTGTTTAACTAATCAGATTAACATTGATAATTGATCTGGAGGCACGTAGATGGCCTGCACAAGTACGTTAGATAATAGTAATAACTGATGTTAAATGTTAGTTATTAAGGTATGAAGCTACTAATTATTTTAACATTAGAATCACAATGTAATTATTTTGATAATTCTAGTTATATTATTAAATTTTTGATTTAGACTTACACAACGCAAAATTATCGTTATTAAGAAATTATTCTAAGTGCTATACGATCGAATGAAAATCAATTATTTTTATTAAAGGATAAGGTTAATAGCTATATTCCAACATGTTTGTTAAAAAAGGAACCATAAAATTAATACAAATAAATATTTAAATTATAACATTTTTAGATGATAACGCTGACTGGTTATATTTTTTTAAATTTGTAACAGTGATTGAAATTCTAAATTATAACACTTAAGCCTAAGATTGATCAACAATTTTATTTAATTATACTAACAATGTTATTAAATTATAACAATAATTCGGCTTATCTTAATCATTTTCAGCTTATGTGTATGCACCAAAAATAAATTCAAAACTAGACTAGATATAACACAATGACTGCAAATTTAACAGTCGGATATAAAACCTTATTTAAGAATGATAATGATAAAACGATGAAAAATCTACATTCTTCTAATTAAATATTTTAAAAATAGCCTGTTTTTAGGTTATAATGTTCGTAATTACCTTAATAAACTTTAATCGTAATGTCGGGGCTCCGCCGATAGAAGGCATTTAATATATCAATGGAACACACTAAAACTTTATATCAATTAGCAATTAGTTTTAGAATTACAATTATAGAATAGTTATTTTTATTACAGAATGAAAGTTTTTAAAAGACAAATATTTGTTAACGTTTAATCAAAGAAATAATATAACCCATATTGAAATCTAACAAATTACCCATGATAAATTTTGTGACAAAAAAAAAAATTGAAGCCTGATTGATTTCCGGATTTTAGAAACACCTTCTAGTTTCACTATTCAATCAAATTGGTTTCGATGTCTTTCATTCCACCTGTCTCACTAGTGATTCAGCATATTTCGATATCATTTTTGTTTCGTTCTTACTTAATATTAATTTGTTGTTAATTTGTTTGGGACAATTATTTTTTTACTACATTTTTGCGAGAAGTTTAAAAATATAATATTGAGGGCATTAACTGAATTTTTTTTTTTGCTTCTCTTACTTATATCATCCACCCACAAGCAACTGTCTGCTCTTAATACTGCGATAATATAAAATGAGATAGCCAAACAAAACGCATGCAGTTATTTAAATTCATGTTCAGAAGTATTAATTGTTTTTTAAATTGACAATTTCAGTCATCTTTTGGGTATTTTAAACTGCAGCATATCACATGAAAGTATTAAATATATCATTTTTACAATAAAATAAAATAAAAATGAATTATGATCCTTAGGAACAGATATTAAAAAGTCTCGTGATCGAATGATGGAGCATAATTACCTTTTACACAAATAAAAAAAATTTTATACCTTTTAAACTAAAAATTTGCTTATTTTTAAATATTTTATTAATACTAAAATTGTTTAAAAGATTATATGACAACGAAGTTTTTATTTTATTCAGTCATTTATTTATATTTTTTTCATTTTTTTATTTTATTAAATTAAATGCATACGCTTAAAATAAAAACAAAGCTGTCAAAATTCCATATATAGTTTCGATTTACAATTTTAAGAAATTGTTTCGACTTTGATTTGGAAATTTAAAAGCCTTATTAAATGAAAAATTGAGAAGCCTCGTTATCTTTAAACACATAATAACAATAAAAATCAAGGAATTAAAAATAGAAACAAACATGATCACTAAGCAATAAAATCATAAGCTAACTAAATAAATTAATTTTGTGCACGAAATATAATATTACAAATTAAATATATTTCATAATTAGTGAAACATGGAAAATTTGGTCATACAGGAGTTTTAAACAATTTTTTTTCTCATGTTTAAACATTTGTTTCGCTGATGATCATTTGATTTCAATGCTCTATTAAACAAAATCATGTTGTTTCTGTCTATTGACAGTAAGTAAAATTAAAAAATAAAATTACATTTGTTATCCCAATTTCATGCAGAACAGACCAAATCAAGAGTTTTGGCAGACAGGCCAGTTAAAGAGGGAATTAAATAATGGCCCGCCATTTAAATAAATAAACAAAAAAATCACAATGTATATATAAAAAACTGCGCAAACCTTTCACGTTTTCCCTAACCGCAACCAAAATTGATTTACAAAAAAACATTTGCTAACCTCTAACGTCAAAGATTTATGTTTTCTTAATATCCTACGAAAATTTGATATAGAAATTCTTAGTTCACGGATTCTCTTACGATTAATGTGAAAAATAACAAAATAAAATACAATAATTAAGTAAATTAAACAATTAGGCTATTTGAAACATTTAGGATGATTAAAGGAATTTTTTTCCTTTTATAATAAATATCTAAATGTTGTAAGAAAGAAAAACTATTATTGAATGAGACCCAATATAAAGGCACTATGGAAATCAAAGAAATTCTTCCAAGACCCATCAGAACTGGGGGCCCTGGGCCAGGGTCCATCCTTAAAAACGGCTCTGGAGTAAAATCATTCCCTTAAATATTTTTAGAGATGTGGAAAATAATAAAGTAAAAGTAAGATTAAGGAGCAATTTAGCTTATTGAAGTTCAGCAATGGCTTTCCGTGCTCGATTTGAAACCCTATATGTTAAAATATTAATGCAATAAAGTATCTAATTTATCAAAAAATAATTACTTTCCACATTTTAGGAAACAATTTTAAATATTTTGTTAAATTATATTATTACCTTATATCATTGTTTACCTTTAAAGGTTTAACTGACATAATAGTAAACACTCTAAAATTTCATACATAAACAATGTGAAATGTCTCTAAACTAGGTTAGGGTTGACAGTTAAAGTAAATGTTTTCTAATTGATAAATTAGTTTACTATAATAATGCGAAGAATAAATTATTCACAGTGGTATGTTATTATTTAAAATGAGTTAAATTATTTCATTGCATCAACACATATTGTATACATATCATAATGAAGTTTTTATTTATTCAAATTTTGTATAGGTGGAAAAGAAACTCTTCAAATGAAAATGAACACTTCATATATTAAAGATATTAAAACCATAAAACACTCTGATGTCTTCAAGAATAATTATTCTACAAATCCAACTTTTGACCATGAGACACTGTTTTTCGATGTTATTCATAGGCGCTTAGATGATGATTATAGTTTATTAGATGTAACTCATCATCAAATAGAAGAAAATACAGCCCGAGAAAATGACAAAACACTAGATTTAGACTCTTCTTCCCTCTTGAATGCGTCAGGAGAATATGATAAATTACTCAAATATGGAGAAAATAATCAACTGAAATCAATTTCAACTGGAATACCAGAAATTCACACAATATCAATGAAAGAACTTGTGGAAAGGTATTTCACAAAACATGAGCCAAATATATTGAAATTAGAGATTGAAAGCGTTGAATTAAAACGAAATAACTCCAAACAACCTTCAAGTATTATTGAAGCAAATTTAAAACCAGAAAGATTTTCTGTTAAAGAATATACTACACCTATGCATAATATTGGAACAACAAATGATAATAATACAACAACAGATGATAATAATACAACTAAAGATGATAATACAACTACAGATGATAATGAAACAACTACAGATTATTATAAAACAACAGCAGATGATTATACAACTACAGATGATAATAGTACAAGTGATAATATGCAGTTCAGTTTTACCCAACCACTCAGTAGTAAAATTGATAATTTTCAAAGAGCCCCAATAAATGTTTTAGAAAGTAATAAAGAATTAGGTCAAATTCAAAATGATTTCAAATACAAAACTTCTCCTTCGTATCCAACAAAGAGTACCAGCATGGCTTATCAATTCAGTACAATAATTTCTAACGATACCAATGTTACTTTAGATTTCACCAACTCTGTGCACGAAACCAAGATGGATAATTATACAATAGAATCACAAATTCTTAAGACAACTGTGCTAAATAGTATGGAATATTCAAATGAATCTAGTCATAGACAAAACTCATCCAAAGAAATTTTAGATGAAAGTATTAAGTCTCAAACTCGTATTAATAGTAAACTTACATTTTCATCTCAAAATAACAAGTCAGGAGATGTAACTTCAATAGCAGCTGAAAGTCGAGAAGATTTGACAAACGTTGGATCAATTTATTTAGGAGCTCCTCTATCCGTCGATGATGGCAGTCAACTACGAAAGGATATGACTATTAAGAGTGATGGGGTAATATTTTTGGATCCTAAATTCACGGATATCGCACCTGAACAAACAAATACTTCAACTGACACGCACAACCGAAAGAAAGAGCCAAGAATCCATAACCGCACTCTTGCACTCATCCCATTTGTTGCAGAAGATGCTGTACGAGGTTTTAATGCAACACATGAAAATACTCAAGGATTTCCAGATATGGTTTCGGGTAAGTACCATATCAACATTTAGAAACGTTTTAATTTGTTTATAAGTCAAGATTTCTGCTTAGGTACATGCGCCAAAATAATAGCCTAGTTTTGGTGACTCATGGACAATAGTCCATGAGAAACTTTGAAAAATACATCACAGAAGGGGACCAACTCAAAAGGTGTAACTCATACCCACCACCCACACAAACTTCTACACAATTTTTTTTTCTTAAATTTTGGCAAGTTTAAAATCCCTTTACCATGACAATTGTTAGTGCAAATAGGTACCAATACAGAAATATCTCCATTTATTGACATAACTCTTATTGTATATAAGTTTTATATTTTTAAAAAGTTCTTAAAGACAGTAACTTTAGAATTCAACAAAAAACTATTTACAAAGCATTTTGAATTAAAATTTTAAAACTCTACAAAATAAATACTTACTATAGGAGTTCCATTATTACCGTATTTTTCGGCGGAAGCGCCGCGGCGCTTTCGAAAAAAAAGTTGTTTTTTTCCTACATGCGGCGCTTCCGACGAAATATTTTTTAGTAGCAATAAAATTTTTCAAGGAAAGTTATTTAAGATGAAATAATTTTCTGAGAGAAAGACTATTAAAAAAAAAATTAATAACGAAGTCGACGAAATATTCGCCCGTATCGCGATCTGCAGCAGAACATCGGCAATTGTAATTTGAGCGAACAGAAAAGGAAGTAATAGGACCCTAAATCCGACACTCACGGGACTGACGAAATGCCGATTTTTGGATCTCTTTCGGAAATTCCAATATGGGCCCCTAATATTACTATAATTCAATTCCATTGTTAATTTCAGAAAAACCGATAAATTTAGTCAAGTTTCGATCGTAGATTATGATGGGGTGAATTTAAAACTGGCCCATCTNTTATACGATAAAACACTCTCTAATCGCTAACACCGATGACAGGAAAAAAATTTCGTTTTTTTTTTCTTTTCCACAAAAAGTTTAGAACTTAAAATGTTGTTCTTTCATTATAAAGCAATAGCATAATATTCTCGTATCATGTAAAACTTGATAACGAAGTTACTTATCTACCGTTTTACAGTTATAAAATGAAATGATTATTGAATTCTACTTGCATTTTAAAATGTCAATGTATCCATCGTTCAATGAATTTTACGATTATTTTTATAAAACTGTGTATAATGAACATTTCAACTAAAATAATTAGTACAAAATAGCTGCTAATAATTCTCTTCAACATTTATAAATATTATACATTTATAAATTTCAGCTTTTAGCATTATTGCTAAATAACCTCTACGTCGAAAAATATTTAAGGAATTCCATGATCCTGAAAATTTCCTGATTCCATGATTCCTGAAAATTAAATAAAATTTTAAAAAAAATGTAAATGGTTATCGAGCAGAACCATTAGGTTTAATTAATGAATATAGAATTAGTAGCAAAGTCACTGCTGAACAATAATTTTTTTTAATCTTTTAATTAAACAAACTTTATTGTAATAATCATTTCATTATTAAGGATAAGAAGTTATTGTGAAATTATTAATTTTAATAAGTGGATGAGTAGGTAAAGAAGTTCACTACTCGAAATACGCGTATACATTTAATGAAAGTTATGAAAATACAGAAGATGGTGGTAATATGGATATGGAGGTAATAATATATAATTTTTTTTTATCTTAGTTTTATTACGATCTTCTAAAAAACGCTAATAAACACAATTATGTTAACAAATACAAACGATTATGTCGGAGCTGTAACAGAAAAAATACGCTTTATATTTCATTTAATGCAGAAGAATCTAATGAAGATCGAGCTTATTTGAAACTCTGAAATGTGACACTCATATATAACTTGGTGAATGATAGATACGTGATACCGAAAACAAAACAAAAACATAAGCACACAGCTGTTTGGCGATTTGCGAGACGCTCCTTCAACGCCGATAGATATTTTCGCCAACCCCTTTACAATCTACGGTATGTTTCGTCAATACGCGCCCGGTTTAGCGCCATTGCGGCGCTTGCGCCGGAGCGGCGCTTACAATAACTTTTTTTTTAAAAATTTCAATTTTATCGATGTGCGGCGCTTGCGACGAAGCGGCGCTTTCGCCGAAAAATACGTAGTTGGTGATGGTATTTATCTTCAAAGACAAATGGCATTTTCAACTTTTGAAAGCTATTTTAAGCAGTGCAAAAACAAAACTTTCTTTATTTGGTTTTGAGTTTAATTGGAAGTACATTTATTATAATTAAATTGCATAGCTCTGCCTTTTTATAAAAGTCGAACATAAAAAGCCTAATTTAAAAGGATATTAGTCATGCTTTAGTTGTTTATGAAATTTTTAAAACGTAAAATAAAACTTTTTCTACTAAATTTAATATTCTAAATTCTTGTTTATTACAAAGTCCTTTCTAAAAAACTGTCTGATGCCATATGGAACAGGGAATTCCTTAAGCATGCTTAGACTTTTCACCAATTACATTTTACCTTTCACAAATTTTTAGTAATTTTATAAATTTTTTGAAATATTGCATATTTACCAACAATGTCTCTATACTGGTAAAACCACCAGACTAACAGTAATTGTTTTGATTTAGCCTATAGGTTATATATAAGGACTTTTCAAGCATTACATAAGCACCTAAGAAGGGTTTGTTAGATATTTGCTCATTTTGCTACTCTGGAAAATATTTTAGGCCAAAGGTACAAAACATATTGAAACATAATGATCAAACTGTGTTTTTTGTACCTACACAAATCAGGCACCAAACCAGAGTATATTCAAATAAAAATAGTGATGAAATTAGGTCAGTACACCGTACTAGCTCTTAAAGATCTCTGTACCAGTTCTTGAAACTTCCTTTATTTAAAAATACAAATGACTTAAATGGCAAAAATTGCTAGGTTAACTTATAGCAGCTTCTTTATTCTGTTGTCCAATGTTTCTTTCAAAGTTATATTACCAAATTTAAATTGATTTTTCAAGTTTGCTTCTTTAATTTAACTATCTAATTAAAATGTCAATCATAAGTAATTGAGCTAAACAGCAATTTTTTTCAATTTCTTATTATTGTATTTAACAATAAGTTATTTATTTCTCAGTAATTAAAAACATATACAGTAGGGAACCGATTATCCGGAATGATCGGGACCATCGCTATTCCGGATAACTGATTTTTCCGGTTTTCTGCATCGCTACAAAAAGCCGTTTTTTTAATATTAAACCAAACTGAAAAAAAAAAAAATTTTTTTTTGGATATAATCTTAAAAAGAAGAAAAAACGATGAAGTAATACACTAATGATTATTTCCAAAATGATGGTATGGTAAACATCTTTCAAAAAAGAAAGAAAAATCCTAAAATCTTATGAGGATAAAAAAAAAAATTTTTTTAAATGGCGGGAAAATTTATCGAATTTCGTTCCGGTTTTTTGGTTTTCTGATTTCCGGATAACGGGTTCTGTACTGTATCTATTTTTAATGGCTTTTTTGGGGCTACATTTTTGCAGAGCTTATACCCTACTTATAATATGATTTGAAATTTTTATGCTACTGGTACGGTTGAAAATTGTTAGTTATTTGATTTCCATCACTAGATTCTCTATTATATACACAGCTGATTGCCCACCATGATTCATATGTATTATATGAAGTCCCATATTAGATAATTTATTGATATAAGACATTAAAAAATCTTTAGTCATTAAAAATATTTGTATTATTTTTTAATGTAACATTTTTAAAAAAAAATTGATTGCTGTGAAAGATAAAGACCCTCTCTAAAATACCAACTAAGTAACGAATAATAATTATAAAAATTGGCAAAGCTCTAAAAAATATTTTAAAGTAGTTTTGCAAAACCATATTTCTAAAATACTGGCTTGAATCACTTCTGCAATAATTTTTCTTCATTTTTTATCTAGAGACCAGTATGTCTAGGCAGAAGAGAACAGTTGTTCACAGATAACTCATAAAAACATTTTCAATTTTTAGACTTCTGTTTTATAAAAGGACGCATTTACATGAATGGAGAAATGATTACAAAACCAGACCCTTGTGAATTATGTCGCTGCTTTTATGGCCAAGAATTATGCCAATTGCAGAGATGCCCATCACCTATAATCAAAGACTGTATACCAGAAAAAGTTCCAGGATTTTGTTGCCCTCGTTTTACATGTGGTTTGTACATAGTCTTTTATTACATTATCAATGATATTAATAACATAACTCTGATTTAAAAAAAAACTTTTTCAGGTAAGAATTCTACTTTTGATCAACATCCTAGTCAGAAAATTACCATCAATTCCTCCCCTAACGCCCATGTTCTCAGTTTAGTAACAATTAGAGGTATACATCTTTTGCATAAACTCTAAAACCGTAAACTCCTGAGAATCTGACATGACAATTGTGCATAATATACAATAATATTTAAAAAAATTATTATCTCTTGATTTATTTTAAATATTATTATCTCTTGATTTGTAATTGGTGTTTTATTAAACTATCTGCTTTGTGCAAAAAGCATAAAGATTGAAAGAAAAGAAATAGCAGAAATTCGTTTTAAAATATCAAGGAACAGAATCTCCTATGAAATCTTATGCAGACAAAGTATTGGGTAACAGGATCACATACATACAGATTTTCATAGGACTGAATCTCACACAGACTAAGTATTAAATAGCAGAATCTCGTAGGAACACAGTATTTTGCAACAAAATTCTAAAATAGTATTCTCACATAAATTTCAATTGCAAAACTGGTCATCTCCTTAAATTTTGGAAATCTTTTTCATGAAATCCAAGCTTTATGTATGTTTAAAAATCGCATGCCATTTCTGGCAAACAATGAGTAACAAATAAACATTTCCATCAACTGAATACAAAAATCCACATTTCATATGCATTTGAAAATCATGTATCAAATCCTGCAGGCGGTTAATTATAAAACCGCCATCTACGCATTCGTCAAATGTTGTTTTTAATCAAGAGTTTGATTATTACTTGTTGTTTAGCATTATTGTGACTTTGCCTGTGACTGTAAATACAATATTTTAATCAAATCTCATGTTTTTGCTTCTATATTTTACTATAAAGAAATGCATGGAGTATCTCTTTAAATAAGAAAAAAAAGTGACCCTACATCATTAACCCTGTCCTTCTCACTCCTGTCAAAATTATTAACTAAATGTCAGCACTCATCAAACATGTATATTTGCGATTAACCCAGAATTTAAACATGAATACACATATTGTACAAAGACTTAGTTTCACACGATTTTCTGGACGCTTTTATGATCGTTTTCTTCAAAATTACAGGACCATTAAGGGTTTGAAAAGAAAAAAAAAGTCCTTACAATGTAATTTGTTTACCAGATTTACTTTTGGCCAGTTTTTTGTTTGTTTGTTTTTTAAATCAAAATTTACAGCAGTTTTTATCGGGCATTACATATTTGAACATTTTTTTAAGAATGAAAATAACTACATTTCATAATTCTTAACACAGAATTGAGTTATTATTGAAGTATAAAATTTAGATATAGGGGAGAGTCGGGTACCCACAGTCGGGAGAGTGCCCACAGTCAATTTCATATCTATAGAATATTTTTTCAAGTCAATGGGCCATCGGACATTAATTGTTATATTAAAAAAAGATTATTTTCAAAGTTTCAAGTATTTATGTAGCTGGTAACATGGTAAACAATAGTTTTGAAAATATGTTGAATACAGTAGTCATGAAATTAAGAAAAATTGGTTGAATGTTTCTGATTAAACTTCATTCTAATACTAAAAAAATCATTTTTTCTATACATACAGCATTAAAGTATGTAGTCTTAAGTTGAATTTGCACAAAGAAAGAAGTTTGTATGTAAAAATTGTTCGAGTAATTACAAATTTACAAAAAAATTGGATTCCGGTTTGCCCCGCTCACATGAATGTCGGGTATCACCGCCCAATTTTATTTCGTCGATAAATGTACGGTTGCAAAGATTATATATGCTTTAATACAAATTTGAATGCAATACTCCTTAAGTGAG